TTCCTCACTAATAGATTCTGATTTTTATTAAGACAGGGATGTACAGATAATATATAAATGCATAAGTTGGCTGGAGTCGGGGGGGTACCCTTCCAAGGCCACAGTTGTTTCTAGATTTAAAGCTGTTATTGCATCTCTGGCTAGGCTAGTAATTCAGTTAACAAAAGATCTGAAAAGGGACACAAGAACATAGAGTAGAATGAGAAAATATGAGTGGAAGAGAACAGATCTGGGCATGTCTCCTTACACCCCATTAAACCAGTCCCCCATTCTTGGAAATAGGTTAATCTGATGGAGAATATTTATCTTATCTTTTAAGAAGTGGAGGGCTCAGCTTCTACTTGCTTTGAGTGACAAGCATTTTTGCCAGTAATCATGCAGGTTCTTCTTGAGCTATCAAGGCATCTAGGACCTGGTGGTTTTCAGATATAACAGAGGCTAGGCCTTTGGCTTCTTCCTGATCTGGAAAAGCAGCAGGAGGTCTACTCCAGAAGGGGTTTAGCTTAGGCAGAGTCCTGGAAAAACTGCTTTTCTCTTGTCTTGTTTGCATTCAGAAAGTCTGCTTAGGCCTGGAAAATGGGAGTCATTATCAATGTCTGAGTGGGAGAAGCCCTGTGTCAAAACATAGGGTTTGATTGTAATATTGCCCTAGAATGTCCCCCAGAAAAGATCAGCATCATTCAAGATTTTAATGCAGGGGGAAAAATTTCTTATTTTGGGATGAAATTTTCTGAGCACCTTTAACCTGGAAGCCCCATTGTAGTAGATAAATACACATGGGCAAAATTCCTTTGTCCAGCACTTGAAGTTTTATGATAATACCAATTCCTCCCAAACAGAGAGGTTCCTTCCCTAGACAGGTTATCAGTAAAGAGACACAGTAAGTCAGTCACAGCAAGAGGATCTTATTACTTGGCTGAAGTAAAGATCATGCTGGGAATAATTCCCAAAGCTGTATGTCATTAAACAAAGTGGTTGGGCTGGTTTTCTAGTCAGAAGGCAATGAGGAGTGATCTGATAGAATATGGTGATGGGGTGATGCCAGGAAGCATGGTCTCACTGGATCCTGCCACATGGTGACACCAGGGCTTGATCTGTTTGGATCCTGGATCCTGCCATGTGGTGTCCATTTCTTAATTCAATCCTTGCTCCTTGGTCCAGTCCGAGCACTCAGGTTCCACCTGTGGTTGCACTCTTGGTCCATCTGGGCATGCTCAGGTTGCCACCTTCAATCTGGGAGTTCATGACAACTGAAAAACAACTCACAGCTTTGTTACATAAAAGTTGAGCCAGAGCCCGGTGCAGTGACTCATGCCTGTAATCCCAGCACTTGGGAGGCTGAGGCAGGTAGATCGCATGAGCTTACAAGTTTGAGACCAACCTGAACTAGAGTGAGACCCTCTCTCTAAAAAAAAAAATAGCCAAGTGCTGTGGTGGGCACCTCTAGTCCCAGCTACCTGGGAGACTGAGGCAAGAGAATGACTTCAACTCAAGAGTTTGAAGTTGCTGTGAGCTGAAATGCCATAGCACTCTACCAAGGGAGACAAAGTGAGACTCTGTCTCAAAAAAAAAAAAAAAAAAAAAAAAAGTTGAGTAGATTGGTCTAGTGTTGTTAGACTATCAGAAATTTGGGGAACCTGAGATTTTCCTGAGTGAAACAAAACCTTTGGCGATTTAGGAGCTGTAATGGACTTGAGTAAAGAAAGTAGTGAGATCGTTTCTGCTGTGATTGTGATAGATCGGGGGGATCTAACAAGTCTGCACCAGGCCTTTCCCTGAACAGGCTCTTGTTGAGAAGGTAGCTATTTTTCACAAGGATCTGGCTAAACTTATATTCATATCTCTCTAAGAGTGAATTTCAGGAATCATTTGTATTACATTTTAGAGCATCAAATGCCTCTTCTGAAAATACTGTATTTCATATTTATGAGTTACAGTGAGTTTAATGTTCATTACTATACCCTCATGTGCATGTCTTAAAAATATAGTACGAAGCTGATAGCCTATAACTACTACTTCTTTTAAAATGGTTGCTGGTTTGTTCTACCACCATGAGCTGTAAGTACTAAAATTTAGCATGATGTTGGGAGCATTAGTTCAAACCACATAGAGCCTTGTAAACTTAGAATTGCTTTTTGATGAGTAACATCTCCTTTTTGGAGACAAAAAGGCCACAAGTCATGTTTATAATTTTCTACTGTGACAAATAATCAAGTATTTGATTTTTTCAAGTAAAATTTCCAAATGTTGCTTAGTGACTTTTAAAGAGGATGCAGTTCTGACCCTGTTAGTAAGATCTGAACTTGCCAAAGTGTGCACACTGAGTCAGCATGCTGAATAGCGGCCAGTTCCGTCAGAGCTGATTGTATTCATGTATAGTCTCGTGCCTCACATATGATTCTTCCAAGTAGATGAAGTTTACATAGGAAAAGAATTGTTGGATATCAGTTTTAATTACTCTTTCATTTTATATTTTTTTCCATGTTCTAGAACTTACTAGCAAGTGCATTTTTTAATACTACATACATTTAGATGTCAAGTAGATATTTTAAATTTAACCAATGTGTATAACTTATATTGAATGATAAATTAGAATAAAATTTTTCAGATGTTTTGTTGATTTATCAAAATATTTTATTCTTTTCTACATATACAAAGCATATAACTTGTATGTTCAGGAAAGTTATTCCTGACTATATTTCTTTAAGTACAAAATAAAATAATAGGGATGAAGATCAAGAAGAAAACTATTAAATAAAAAAGGAAGAGATTTGTTTGAAATCTGTTGCCCCACATAAGCTTCACATCTATCCCTACTTATTACAGTTCTGTTTTGTGTGGGATAACTTCTCTGTTTAAGCATGTGTTTTAAACCCATATCTAAACCAATCACTAGTAGATTGATGTACTTTTTCTTCTTCTTTTGAATAGACTCAAAATTATACACTACAAACATCCTGGAAATTGGACTCTAGGAAATGAGCCAGGGCACAAGTTAACTGATTCCTTTTGTTCTTCACCCAGTGGTAGATCCAGCACAATTACAGATTAGTTCTGATAACCAAAGAAGGATGGGATTAGGCAAGTGGCTGGCGCCCCCTATAGATACATTTGTGGTGGTGATCCAGGGAACTTCATAACATCCAGATTCCGTAGGCTTAATTTAGGAGTCAGACAGTTCATGAATTAATATTTGCATCAATATTAAGGCTTTTAGATGAGCTAGCTTCCATCATTCTTACCAAAGAACAACTTTAATATTGCATCTCTAGGATTGCAGGCCTGTTTAGATGGGAATCGCTACAAGTAGTATCTTTTAACAACCTTGCACCTGTGCAACTTCCTATTTCATGGATTCAATTATTTTGCGGTTCAAAAACTAATCTCTCAAATGTACATAAGATTGCACCTTCACTTAGGGAAGGAGGCTTCTGAATTGCCTTTCTTATTTTCTCTCATATTAACTTATGATATTTGGCCCGGGCTATTTTGCCTTTGCCGTGTTGGCCAGCACTTTTATCAGATTGTCGGGAAAATTAGGATTATAAAAATCAATAGACCCAAATTAAAACTAAAAGTAATTAAGGCTGAAAATAGTAAAATTTTCATTTTTGCTAAATATTGAATTTTGCTAACTAAAATTTTAATTTTGGCTGAATGCCAAAACTTCTTGGCAGAATTTAACCCTGGGCCTTGGAGATATTGACTTAATTGAGATAAAGCAACAAAATGAAAATCTTAGTAACGTAAAATATTATTAAGACTTAACATGAACTCCAAACTGATGTGTCAAATTTTACTGTGAAATGTACACACAATAATAGCAATTCCAGGATGATTAAAATGCAAATACAAATATCAGAATATTACTGTGATGAACAGAGAAAATGCCTACAGAATTAGAATTGTTTAGTTGAATTAACTCTAGAAAATAAAATTGTCATTGATCTACCCATGACGACATGATTCACGCAAATATGTTTGTTTGCAATTGTTAAAAAAATATTCCCATGGTCAAAGGGCTAGAATCAGAAATATCCACCTTTTTATTAGTAGGAGTTCAAGAGGGCAGGCTCAAAATACCTTCTGCCCCTTTTGTGTACAATAGTATGATAGAGAAACCTTCTCTCTCATCATCCTTATACTCATTAGTGGCTAGTTTTATTGTATTTTTCTTTTTTCCCTGTGTTTGTTAATCACTCACATGAGTATACCATTTTCAAGTTATTTCATGTGAATTAATTATTATCCCACTTTATAGCCCAAAGAAATAAAACAAGTTACCAAAGGACTCAGACAACCAGACCACAAGCACAGCTATTCTAATGCCAACTTTAGGACTTTTTCACTATGCTGCAGCTATGCCTGGTAAAAACTAAGAAACACGTACTTTCAGTGATTCTCAACCTTCCTATGCCATGGCCCTTTCATACAGTTCATGACCCACAGGTTGAGAACCGCTGTGTAAGCAGTCTTTCCATAAAAGATTGTTCTTTCCTATAATTGGCAGTTGATATCACCTATCTGTCTTGAAACCGATGTAGTTATGCCCTGTGGACTTCCATGACTTCATAATCCTTTGTCCAAAGTTGGTCACAGGAATTCCATCCACAGTACCAGGAGCCAAAGGAACAAGTTCTCATCGTCAGGATTGCTTCCTAAAAAGTGTCTGAACTCAAGTGGAGAATTTCACTTGTTTGAGCCTCAGTTTCCTCATTTGTAAAATTAGGATGATCATAGCTGTCCTGCTTCATTTTCTGGATTATTTTATTAACCAGTAATAAATAAGCTTCTAGAGATGAACAGCAAGATCTTCATTGTTTTTAGCCACAGAAGCTACTGTCGTCACAGATAATGTGATAAAGAGTAGAGAGCAAATGAGATGGGATTTGAGAAGATACCTTGTAGATTATAATTTGCATAGAGAATAGGTTACTCTTATTGGGGATTATCCCGCCCCATCTAAAGACTTATCCTCCCCTGCTTTATTTTTCCTCTAGGACCACTGAGGTTTCTTTCCCAGACAGAATCTGTCACAGCCTTCATGGGAGACACAGTGCTTCTCAAGTGCGAGGTCATTGGGGAGCCCATGCCAACGATACATTGGCAGAAGAACCAACAAGACCTGACCCCAACCCCCGGCGACTCCCGAGTGGTGGTCTTGCCCTCTGGAGCACTGCAGATCAGCCGCCTTCAGCCAGGGGACACTGGAATTTATCGCTGCTTAGCTCGGAATCCAGCCAGCTCAAGAACAGGAAATGAAGCAGAAGTCAGGATTTTATCAGGTATTGTGGTCTTCTTAATTCTCTTCAGAATAATTTTCTCTGGCATAGTTTAAATAATATTTTTTCATTAACATTTCTCATTGTTTTAAATTATGTATCATTCATTGGGTTTTGTTTTCTATTATTTCTCCCTTCCTCGCCTAAAGGCATCAGATAGGGGTGCGCCAAAACTGTTCTTATTTTGCCATGCCTTGTTGTTGAAGTTTCTGTAGGAACAGGTAGTTCTCCTTAAGTTTGGACTCATTGATTCATGCACTCATTTGTAACATTTAACGAGTACCTCTTTGTGCAAGGCCCATCGCTAAGCATTTCTTAGGCATTATTTCATTTTTTTCTGATAATAGTCTAAGAAGTAGTTATTATTATGCCCATTTTTAGGGAATGAAGGTAAGGATTAGCAACATTAAGCGCCTTCCCATCCAGGAGCAGTGGTGGCTCGTGCCTGTTAAGTCCAGCAATTTGGGAGGCTGAAGTAGGAGGGGAACTTGAGTTTAGGAGTTTGAGGCTGTAGTGAGCTATGATTGCACCACATACCACTCTAGCCTGGATGGTAGAGTGGGAGCATGTCTAAAATAAACAAAACCCAAAGAACAAGAAACCTTTCCTTAGTATTGAACTTCAGAATCACGGTAAGTATTAGGGAGCCGGTAAGGACTAAGACTGACACAGAACCTGGCCTATTAGTACTGTGGGTGAAACAGACATGTAAGTAATTACAATAAATTTTCATTAATATCATGAAAAGGAAAGTCATTTCTCTTCATCTCTCATCGTCCTTTTCATTTCTCTTCATCTCTCATCGTCCTTCTCTTTGGCAAATCTCTCGAACTCTGATATTACTTTTCTTTCCCAAAGAGAAGTTGGATTGGATGGATGTTCCCTGAGATCTCTTTTCTTCCAATAACTGCCATGATTGTGTATCTATGTGATATCTACATTCTCATTTAGTTTTACTTGTAAGACTTACTTAGACTCACTTGTGAGAATCACAAAAAAAGACATCCACATTAATAATTAGGATTGGATGCTCATCAGGAACTCTGTGCTTTTACTTGTGATTGTCACAAGTGCTTCAGATCTGCAGACAGTAACATTCCGAAATCATTCTAAAAGCAAACTGACAATTTGGCTGAAAGTTTGTAGGTGCTTTAATAAAGACATTCTAACATCCCCAACTCTTTTGTATAGTCTCTCTTTCATTATTCACAGGAGTACAGATTAAATGTGTCAATAACCATCAACAACAGTGGAAGATTTCATCCACCAGGCAACAACAAAGAGAGAGGTAGAATTTATCCCAAACACATACATACACATGCATACAACGTTACATATTTATGTTCACATATCATTCATGATGCCTCTGTTGAGTATATCACATAGGAAGCCAAGATGAGCCATACAAAAAATTGATAAGAATATGTTTGATTGTCTTAATATGAATTGAAAGGTTTTCCAGTAGTTATTTAGAAACCAAGCTGGACTGATCAAGTATCAAATTTGAAATGGAAAGTTTTGAAAGATATAGAGGCATAATCATAAAATTAAGATGTACCTTTATTTGTTCACATTGTAAAACATCTTTGCACTGTAATCCATGGAGATTTATTTAAAACCAAATTCCGTATAGTTAATTTGGCTAAAATTAAGAACATGTTCATGTACCTTGGAGATGTGTGGCCATTATTACCTGAATGGAAACCATTTTACAAAAACATTACATGTATTGAGAATGCTTATCTGAATTCTATGAATTCAAATGTAAACTTCAAACAGGAATGATGAACTGAGGTCACACACACACACTTGATCACAATTGACTAAACCTGTCTCATAGTCTACTGACTATGTAGGGAAGGAAGATATCTTTGACTCATGTGTCTCGAAGTTTATAAGTTGGTTTATAGGTCAAATACCCAGGTCTACATTAAGTAAAAGATTGAGTGAGAATAAATGAATGAATGGCCAGTCCCAGCTTCTTTTAGTTGCCACTTGTCACTCTCTCATTTCTTAGATCATTCTGACCTTTTCTTAATCAATTTCTACTTTCTATAAGTACCAATTTGGGGGAGGAATAAATTCCATGCATATATTGCCCACTCACTATTGTAACTCTTATTTAATTGGGAAAGATAGAATCAATTAAAATAGAAAATCATCATGTTCATAATATGATTTAGGAACATAAGAAGTGGTATCAGAATGGTTGGAACTTTTGAAACAATATATTTTTCCTTGGTCACTAAACCACTATGTTGACCAAAGTTATTTATTTTTTTAGTTTGAAAAATAAATGCTAACGTGAACTTTTTCTAACACCTGTTTTGATCATAATCCATCAAGAGAATGTTTGACTTCCTATGTATGTGTTTGTAGTTATTTAGTTTTAAATAATATTTAATGTACTTATACAAGCCTATGTGAAACGTATTTCAAGTTATCCCTTTTACATATCAGGCACCTAATGTCTGATTAGATATACACAATTCATATTTTAGCAATCAACTGTTTTAAAGTGCTATCTTTCAGCAATCAGATTCAGCTTATTCATTAATAAATATTCAATGAACTTTTGAGTGAATCTTAGATACCGGCCATCTTACTGGTTGCTAGAAACAAAATATTGGAACATTATGCCATCAAACAGCTTATAGTCCAGTGGGGGAAATAGATAAAGCAAGTAGGTTGTGCTCTGAAACAAGAAACCCAGGGTGCTATTGCTGTACATGGCAGAGAAGTACAATGAGGAACAAGTAGGATCTAAGCAAGGAGATGGTGTACCAAGAAAAAGGCGCAGGGGCACAAGTGTGGAGGAAAGACACATCAGAAGCTTTCCAGGGATCTATACACTTCCTCTTTGACTGCTCATGGGGCACAGGAGATGACAGAACAGGGATAAGCTGGAAGGAGAAGAGTTCACCTGGGCAGGGAGGGAAGGTGACATGCTGCAGCATTAATCCTGGAGAGAATTAACCCACAGCTGCTACTGAGATAGTAGCAGAAGGTATTCAGAAACGATGATGGTTGGGGAGAAATTAAGGAAAGGTCCTAGAAACAGATCCGATGTGGCTTATGAGGGAGGGCATGGAATCCAGGTCCTGAAAAAGTTAGTAGCACTTTTCACTGACACTGGCAGTGGGAAAGTGTGATGTTATTGTCTTAAATAAATTATAGGTTTTTAAAAGAAATTTATCTCTAACATTTTATCTTTTCTAGATTAACAAAATTAGTGTTTTATTCAAAGGCAGGAAAATTGGTAACGGATTTTATTTGTTGACTATGGCTTTAAGACACGTTGAATTTTCACTCATGAGAAGTTATAAATTTTTACCAGATAAATTAGTAATAAACTATTATAAAGGATTTATTTTTGAAATGTCAACAACAAAACACTAAGTAAGAGCAGAGATGTTTTAAAATGCCATCTAACGTGTGATGGAGAATAAATGATGGATTGAAGGGGCATTCTGTTTGTCAGTTTCACTCAATCCACATCTCACCACATCTAAGTGCCAAGCAAGAGATTGAATTGCAGAATTATAAATCAGCTTGGGGTCCTAGGTTGACTAAAATAAGTGGCCCATGCACTGGAATTCTTCTTTTACTTTTCTTAATGGCCTAATGGAATTGATCAACTGGTAATTCAATCTATCGTTCATTCATTTAACTACAATTTGATGACTCTGGGCTCTGTAGAGACCTGAACTAAACATCTGTGTAATTAGACACAGTGGCTTTTCAATGAAATAAATTGGGCTGAAACACATTTTGGATGATTTTTATGTATCATATTTATTTTTTGTTAAGTTTTGAACATGAAATATCAAAACTTATCTAGTTTCAAAGGGAAATTCTGTTTTTAGTTTTAAAACCAATAGTTTTAGACTTTTATTCATCACTAAAAATTTATTACTGACTTTATTACATTAAACGTAGTTTCACTAGACAGTATATTTCAAAATTAATTAAATGTTACTGCAATCTATTCCTATAATTTCTGCATAATAATGATCTTTAGCAGTTAACAAAGAAGGCACATGCTCTGCTTTTTAAATTTATTGTTAAGCTGGGTATTCAGTTCACGTAGCTATATGACTAACATGAGTCACGGAAGGGTAAATTCAGGTAAACATATCTCATTCCACCTCAGTGCAGACAAAGAGCAAATCAGTTCTAGGTAGAAAATTTGGAGTCTTCATAGATCATTACTTTTCTAGATCATAAGGGGAGCACAGTTTGTAGCATGATTCCTGTAGATGATAAATGTGGCAGGAGAAGTTGAGCTCACTGTACAGACAGCCTGGAGTCCCATGTCTAGGAATTTAGACTTGATTTATTAACATTATTCATCGTTGGGACCTCTTGAGTGTTTTTGAGCAATGGATTGTCTGAAAGAAAAAGTGCTATTTGGGGGGACATCAAGGTCAGCATTTTAAGATGAAAATCAAAATATTGGGGAACCTATTATATTTTTCTTGCCACACCTTATCATTCCAGGGTCACCAATGACCTTATCCTTACCCAGTCCACCAGTTTTCTTTTTTTCCATTTTTATCCTTGACTTTGAATTATGTTAGATATTAACTATATGTTATATTATTATAGATATGTAATCTGTAACATAAAATGCTATATCTGACATTATCATCTCCTCTTAGCTACCATTTCCTGAAAGCTATTTCTCATGAAGTCAAAAACAAAATCAATATACTTGTAATTCTCTTCCACATAAAGATGTGACTATTTCTTGGAAAGGAGAAAATGTGTCCTGTTCCAAAAGTCTAATGTGGTCAACATGTGATCAATTCTGCATTTATTAGGAATATGACCTTTAGCAGCCCTGAGGGGCAGATGGTAGAGGCAAACACTATTTTGTGACTCCGATACAAACAAGAAGCCTTCCTTGAGGGTGAAATATGAAACTGATAGCCTTTGAAGCAAAAGTCACAAAAAATAGAGATACGACTTGTAGAGCTTGCTTCCTTCTCTGCTCTTATTTG